CCTACCGATTTGATTTGAAACTCTCTCATTGCTATTTGTTTATCAATAAAATTATGGAAAAAAAGAAAAAAATTAATAAAAAATTTTTAAAAACCAAACTAATAGAAAAAAGTATTACCATTATGATTGATAGCTGGAACATGATCTGGAAAATGTCCACACTTTTTTTAGGTGATTAGGCATTATTATATACAAGTATGGTTAGACATCTTAGAAGATACTTGTGTTGTTATTTTAAGATGTGTTTTATCATTATTAGGTTTTTATTTTTATTTACTTATTTTTTTGAAGTACTGGGGATTGAACTCAGGGCATTATTAGGTTTTTAAAGTTGACTTGGTACTGGCACAAAAACAGTTATGAGAATCAGTGGAACAGAAAAAAAAATCAGTGGAACAGAAGAGAGGATACAGAAACAACCTGAAGCATACCCCATCATTTAGTCTTTGACAAAGGGGCCAAAAATATGCTCTAGAGGAAAGATAGCCTCTTTAACATGTTGGGAAAATTGGATATACACACATGGAATATTGAATCTAGACCCATATCTCTTAGCATACCAAAATGGTTTGAAGAACTAAATGTTAACACTTAATCTACTGGAAGAAAAACCAGATAAAACTCTTATAGGCATAGGCAAGGATTTTCTGAACAGAATGCTAATTGCACAGGAAATAATACTAAGAATCAACAAATGAGATCAAATTTAAAAGCTGCATAGCAAAAGCAATCAAGAGTGAGAAGACAACCTATAGAATGGAAAAAAAAATTTTTTTTGCCAGCTGTGCCTCAGAGGACTAATATCTACAATATGTAAAGAACTAAAAAAAAAAAAAAAATCAGACCCCCCTCAACTAAATAACAACCAAAAATGGGCTAGGAAAATGAGTGGACATATCATAGAAGAAGTACAAATGGCCAATAAATATATGAAGAAATGCTCAACATCTCCTGGCATGCAAATTAAAACACCACTTAGTTTCCATCTTACCACAGAAAGTGGCCATCAGCCAAAACAACAACAACAACAAAAAACCCCAAAAACAAAACGAACAAACAAAAAAACATGCTGTAGAAGTGGCAGGGGAAAAAATCTTTATACATTGTTGGTGGGGATGTAAATTAGTACAACCACTATGAAAATCAGTATGGAGATTCCTCAAAAATTAAAACTAAAAGTTCCATTTGACCCAGGTATTTCCCTTCTACATATTTTCCCAAAAGAGTTAAAGCTGGGGGCCTGGGCCTACCTCAGTCCTTTAAGTGGCTGCTTCCACAAAGCTGCAGCCTCAGGTGGCTGGAGTTCGAACCTCACAACTCTCCTGCTGGCCAAACGTGCCCTGAAGGCATGCGAGGAACAAAAAAAAAAAAATCCTTATTCCAAAAGAGTTAAAGCAATCATGTAACAGTGATACATGTGTACCTATGTTTATAGCAGCTCAATTCATAACAGCTAAATTTTGAAAGTGGCCTAGATGGCCATCAACAGATGAAGGGTAAATAAAGTAAAATATTTACCTGCAGTGGAGTATTATTATTCCATAGAGAAAGATAAACTTGAGTCATTTATAGGAAAATGAATGCACCTTGAGATCATAGTAAGTGAAATAATACCACATGGTCTGTCTTTTATGAAGACCCCAAATTGTAAATAAAGAGTAAAATAAAATAGGAAATAGGTAGAGCTTTCTCAAATGGGAAGGGGACCAAGAGATGGAGGGAGATGGGAAGAGATGGGTAGGAAAAGGGGATGAAAAAAGAATTAGGGTGTGTTTCGTACATGTACCAACTCCACGCAAAAAATGCACACCATACTGCAAACAGGTACTGATTTTAAAGAAATAATATCAATCTAATTTACAAGGTAAACCTTGCAGACACTGCCTAGCTATTCTTTACTATACCAATATGGAGGAGGAATAAGGGGTAATATTTCCTGAAGCAGGACACGGTTTTTTCCTTTGTAGTATGAGTGTCCGGGAATGGAGAAGAAAGGGATGGTTTTCTTAGGTGTGGAAAATGCATGCTTCATTTATGTTTTGTAGATATATATTTCTGTACCAGCACATATCAGTACACCAGGAGGTTGATTCACAAATAAAATGTTTTGAGTTGGTAAAGAATACTTCATTTAAAAATATACTGTATTAGGTACATGCACAAAATGGTCATTCTTGGATTTTTCTGCTTTTAGCTCTTAATTCACTTAATAGATTTGTGTTTCTTAAATAGTGAACTGACTTATTTAAAAATGCAAGACTTTTTAGCTAGGTCTACCAGTTCTCAGGATTTCTGGCATTGAACATGACCTTGTGGAAATTAACTGAAAATTCAGTTTGTTTTGGCTAATGTGAAAAAAATGAAAACATGAGATTAAATGTCTTAACCCCAGAAAATAATTCTAAATGTTCAAGCAATTTGCTGATGCATAGCCATTTGCAGTCATATTTTAAATTTTTTCAGGTTATCTTTTCATCAGGTAAAAGCCTTCTTGGCTTATCAGTTTAATAAACAATTCCAGAGTCTCTGGTGCTTATCCAAGCTGCTTGGGCTATTTTGTTGTCGTTTCTCTTACCCAGAAATACAGTCTATACTGCACAGATTCTCTGCAAAACTGACTTGGACTTCAGAGAAAAGCAGCTATTCTCGGGACATATCAGGGATTACACCCTTCAAGTTGACTTTTGAGGCAAGTTTGTTGTTCTTATAAACTAATGATTTGATTTTTATTTTTCTGCACATCTAATAATAAGAAAGAAAAGTCTTCCTCCATCACAGCCTCTAGTTAAAGCAAGATAAACACTGATTTCCAAACTTGCCTTTGTAGACGAGTCACCTAAGAGCTTCCAAAATATGGTGTCTGTGACTTATTCCAATAATTTGTGATCTTATTGATCTAAGGCATTGCATTATTCCTGAGATCTTGGGCTTCCATAACAAAGTGCTATTGACCTGGTGACTTAACAGAAATTTTCTTACAGTTCTGGAGGTGAGAAGCTCAAGATCAAAGCTCCATCAGAACCAGGTATTTTGGCTTGTGCCTGTAATTCCAAGATTCAGGAGGTCAGGAATATAAGACCAGCTTGGGTAACATAGTGAGAACCTGACTCAATAAGAACAACATGACCGGGGAGATGGCTCAGTGGAATAAACACTTCCCCGGCAAGTGCAAGGGCCTGAGTTCAATACCTGGTTCCACCAAAAAAAAAAAAAAACAACAACATGGGCCGGGGAGGTAGCTTAGTAGAATAAGCACTTGCCTGGCAACTGCAGGGTCTTGAGTTCAATCCCCAGTACTCCAAAAAGAAAAAGAAAGTGGTATCTGGGTTACACTCTGGTGAGGCCTCTCTTCTGGGCATGCAGACTGCTGCCTTGTCATTATGCCCTTAATTGGTCTTCTCAATATCTGGATAGAAAGAGGTTCCTGATGTCATATGAAGAGGCACCTTAGCTCAGCATAGTGGTGCATGCCTGTAATCCCAGTACTCAGGAAGCTGAGGCAGGGATCACCAGGAGTTTGAGGCCAGCCTAGACTACACAGTGAGTTCAAGATCAGCCTAAACTGCTTAGTGAAACCCTGTCTCAAAAAATAAATAAATAACCTCAGTAGTTTTTTTTTCTAATGTATTTGGTACAGCTTGGACACATAGTCGATTCTCCTGTTTTTAGCCTCCCTAGCCCTCGAATTACAGGTATGTGCCACCACAACCATACTCGGTGACTGGTTCAGCTTGCCCAGGGGCAGGGCCAGTGTAGCATGTGGTGCTAGGTATAAACCCCAGTCCCTGCCTTTGCCTAAGCATGCACTTAGTCTGCTGAGCTATCTTGCCAGCCCTTCAATTAGTCTCTTAATACCAAAATCAGATTGAGAGTTGGGGCTTCAGTTTACTATTTTTTGTTCAGTACTTGGACAGGAATCCAGGGCTTTCACACTGAGCTATATTGATAGCCCACCCTTTCTCCTCTCATTTTAAAACAGTTTTTTAAAAATTCTTTTGATATAGGGTCTCACTACACAGTTCAGACTTGTAGTGATCCTCCTGTGCCAGCAACCTCCCTAGCCCTGGGATTACAGGCTCGCGCCACCACGCTGGCTTTCTAGGCCAGCACAGCACACCCAGGGTTCTGGGGCAGGCAATTGAACTGGGCTCCTTGCGCTTGTCAGGCAGGTGCTTAGGCCATGGAGCTATCACCCCAGCCCTAGAAGCTTTTCATTTGGTGTGATCCCATTTGTTTATTCTCAGTATTATTTCCTGTGCCTTTGGGGTTCTGTTCAGAAAGTCCTTATGTTCCCATGAGCAATGTAGAAAGGTTCCTTTCCCCCATATCCTCACCAGCATTTGTTATTACTTGATTTTTTAAAAGCTTTTAAAATTTTATTTGTTTATTTATTTGGTATAGGGCCTATCTTCAAGAATTTTACCTGGTTTTTCTTCCATCAGATCAAGTGTTTGTGTTTTAACATTTCTTTGATCTTAGTTCTTTAGTTTAGTACATAGTGTTATGGTTTGTGTCTAGGTGTCCCTCCAAAGCCTCATGTAGTTACTGGGGCAGGTTTCTAGAGTTTGTGATTGATTCATGATCCAATGGTGGGATTATGGGTGTGAGTGCTATGCCTGTGGATAGCCTGAAGAGAATACAGGAAGGCCTCTGCATTGCTGCCACTGCTCCGGTTTTTTTGGCTCTTGCTGTTTTCTGCCACTATGAACTTCAGTTTTCCACTGCTCCTCTCTTTTTGCTTTTGATGCCATAAACTGTTGCCTTCTGCCACATGTCACTCTGCCTAGGAGCCAGCTGATTATGGGCTGAAACCTCCATGAACTGTGAGCTAAATAAACCTTTCCTTCATTAACTTTGGTGTCAGGTGTTTTGTATCACCAATGAGAGAAAAGTAACCAAGACACATGGGTACAGAGGTCTAGATCCAATCTTCTGCATGTGGATATCCCGTTTTTCCCAGCAGCATTTATTGAAGAGGCTATCTATACTCTGTATTACAGGTGATTCCTAATGTGCAAATAAACTTGGGAACCACTAAAATAATCTTTATCTGAATTTGGATCTCCTGGTTTAAAAAAAAAAAAAAGATTGCTAGTGTGGATCCTGTTTGCATACATTTTTAAAAAAAATACATTTAGTACAGGTTCTACAGGGTCTCACTATACAGATCGAACTTGTAGTGATCCTTCCTATTTTTCAGCCTCCAGCTGGTATTACAGGCGTGTGCCACCATACCCAGTCGCATTCACGGTTTTAGCTTGCTCTGGGAGCTGGGCTGGCGCTGCAGGCCGGGGATCGAACTCCTAGCCCCGGCATCTGAGCTATCTGGCTGGCCCTGGAAACATTTTTATTTTGTTGGTTCAGAGATATCTCTGTTGATTTATTTGATGCGCATATTTATAAGAGTAACAATTGAGTTCCCTTTAAAAATTTTCTTGTCTCCTGTTTTTCCTTCCTAAGTTGATAGAGGTGTAAAGAATTGCAGTGCTTTAAGCTTTCTCTCAGTAAGCAATTAGAAAGCCTTTCTCTACTTTTGAGTAGTTATATGCTCCTTCTCAAAGGAATGGGTATAATATCAGGACAACAGATATCCCGAGCTGTGCCTTATCTTCCTTAGAGGAATGGAAAGTAAATAGTCTGGAACAATTAATGGTTAGTCAGCTCTGGGATTACTAATGTCAACTAGCAATAAAAAAGTTATCCCAGTGAACCAAGGAGAATAATTCTAGGGAGTGAAGGAATGTATTTTAGCTAGTCTGAGCAAACAATGATAATTTTCATACCTAATATAAATATTTAAGCTGCCTGACAACACTATGAAGTAGATAGGACAAGTATTACTACATGTTACAGATAAGAAAACTGAGATTCAGGGAATTTGAGTGACTTTCCTATCATACAAAAAAAAAAATGAAGTGACAAAAGTTGGAACTTGAATCAAAGTTTGACTCATGTAGGTCAGTGCTGTTTGACTGTTTGCTTACTCATTCAGGAACCTGTGTTTGTTCAGGTAAGTTACACTAGTCAGATATTTGTACCAAGTCCTGTTACTTGATTCCAAAGAACTCAGAATGTAAAGCAATGGAAAGACTCGTGTCAAAAAATAATTACAGGGCCAGGGAGATAACTTAGTAAAATAAGCACTTGTCTGGCAAGTGCAAGGTCCTGAGTTCAATCCTTGGTACAAAAAAAAAAAAAAAAATTACAATGTAGTGTGATACAGATCATGACAGGTAAGGACTGAGTACTGTGGTAGCACACAGGAAGGTTACCTACCCTAGGGGAAAGGGCTCAAAGTCTAGTGGACTTAATGAGACGGAAACATTTATTGAGCAGAAGGGGTACAAACACTTGAGAAAGTTGAGGAAGATGTTGCTAGAGTCATTTAGTTTTTCTTTTTCCTTTTTGCAGAGAGTATCTTCCTTAGAAAAATAAAAGTTACGACCAAAGCAAATGTTTATTTATTTTTGGATTTTTGAGACAGTTCTACTTATGTAGTTCAGGCTGGCCTTGAACTCACGATGTAGCCTAAACTGACCTTGAACTCACAGCATCCTCCTTCCTCCTCAGCTTCCCAAGTGCTGGGATTACAGGTATCTGCCATCATACCTGGCAGAAGAAACATTTTAAGCACACATAATTTGGACTTTCAAGGAATTCATGCTTAACATCCTTGTGTATTTTTTTCACATGAGAGTGGGGCATTTTAATATAAACTTTCCAGAATGGGCTGTTCCCATTCTGAAGTAACTGAAAGTGAGTGATGTCTAAGTCATTGTAATGATTCAATATTTGTTTTTTGCTGCCCTGGGCTGAAATAATTTATTTTTTCATAAATTTAAATTCACTGCTTTTATAGGTATGTGAGGCCAGCATACGGAGTTTCTAACACACAGCAGTAAAAGTTTATTTTTCTGTCTGTTGGTCTCTCTCCTCTTTCCACTCCCCTCTCCCTTTCCTTCTCTTTCCCTATTCTATGACTAGATCTTAAAGGGGGCTCTATGCTTTGTCTTAATTATCTTCTGTTGACCTGACATAAAGGTGACTGTATTCTCTCAGTCGCAAGTTAGATGCCAGTCCTCCTTTTGTGTTCCTTTAGCACCTTGGATAACTAATTTATAAAACTTTTTGTATTGTCATATGAGTTGTCTTACTCTTCTACTGAATTCTTGTAGTTCAGAATTCTTATCTCTAAAAACATAT